ATTATATTATATTATATTATTATATCTTATTATATTATATTATTATATCTTATTATATTATATTATATCTTATTATATCTTATTATATTATATTATTATATTATATCTTATTATATTATATTATATTATATTATATTATTATATCTTATTATATTATATTATATTATTATATCTTATTATATTATATTGTTATATTATATTATATCTTATTATATTATATTATATTATATTATATTATTATATTATATCTTATTATATTATATTATATTATATTATTATATCTTATTATATCATATTATATTATATCTTATTATATTATATTATATTATATTATATCTTATTATATTATATTATATCTTATTATATTATATTATATTATTATATTATATCTTATTATATTATATTATATCTTATTATTTTATATTATATTATTATATTATATCTTATTATATTATATTATTATATCTTATTATATTATATTATATCTTATTATATCTTATTATATTATATTATTATATTATATCTTATTATATTATATTATATTATATTATTATATCTTATTATATTATATTATATTATTATATCTTATTATATTATATTGTTATATTATATTATATCTTATTATATTATATTATATTATATTATATTATTATATTATATCTTATTATATTATATTATATTATATTATATTATTATATCTTATTATATCATATTATATTATATCTTATTATATTATATTATATTATATTATATTATATTATATCTTATTATATTATATTATATCTTATTATATTATATTATATTATTATATTATATCTTATTATATTATATTATTATATCTTATTATATTATATTGTTATATTATATTATATATTATAATATTATATAATATTATATTATTTTATATTATATCTTATTATATTATATTATATTATATTATATTATATTATATTATATTATATTATATTATATTATATTATATTATATCTTATTATATTATATTTTATTATATTATATTATATTATATTACTATATAACTGCAGGTAACCTGTGTTTATATATAATATATTTAACTGTAAAAAGCTATTAGTTACTAGTTAATTTGTAAGTTTTTAGTAAGTAATAAAGTTATGGTAACTAATAACTTTAACTTTTCTGAATTAGATTGTAATGCAATAATGTTTGGTAAAAAATACCTTTTGTAAAGCTGCTTTGAAACAATAATTATTGTGAAAAGCGCTGTACAAATAAACTAGAATCAAATTTAATTAAATTATGGTTTAATTTTCAGCAGGGAAAATAAACATTTAATGCCTCGTTTTATTTTCTGGGAATAATATTCCTAAAGGAGCTGTTGACATGCAATTGAACCAGATTTTAGTAAAAACCCAAGGTGATTGGCTGGGCCATTCTAAAGCTTGATTTTCTTTCTCTGAAAGCATTTAAAAGTTTCCTTGTCTTTGTTTTGGTTCATTGTCTTGCTGTTATGTCCTCTCTGGTTTCATCCGATTCATCTTGATGATGTAGATGTTGGACTAAAGCAGCTGATATTCATTTACAATGAGGAAGGCCAGAGGGTTGCTGAAGAACTACTGAGAGAATTCAGCTGCTGTCTGGGCTTTTACTGCCTTTCTGTACCTCACTCTCTTTATGTGTTTAATACTTTTTCCCTGCGTCATTTCATTTTATTAAGCATAACTTCACTTGTAATCTTATTAGATTTGATTTATTTCACAGCAACCTAGCTTTCCCATGTGGTCACCCATCCAGGTACTGACCAGGCGCAGCCCTGTTCAGCTTCAGTGGGCGACCATGTGAGAGTTGCAGAGAGCTAGCTGCAGGCAAGGCTACCGGTTTGTAAGCAATGCTAATGTTATTTGTACGAAAGGAGCCACTTACATCCTCAAATTCCTCTTCATCGTACTCATTCTCTGCCTCGGCCTCTTCCTCTTCTGGCTTCTTCTTCTCTCCCTCCTCTTCATCCGAACTCCCCTCTTTCTCTTTCTGCTCCAGAGTCTGCACAGAAAAAGCACACGCAGTCTGAGCACATTCCAACACATTTGCGCTGTTTATGTGTGTGTGCCGTGGGTCTTTGTGCACCTCCAGTTTGCGTATGATCTCCTCTTTGTCCACTCGTGCTTGTTTGGCTCGTTTGGGAACAGCTTGGCTTTCTGCAAGCGTATAGAAGCAAAGCGTGTGTGTGACAGTGGAAGTGACATAAGCTACATTGATCACAACTTCTCTGACAAAAGCCGCAGAGAGGTCTAAAAATAAAGCCGTCTCTCTCTCCTTAGTCGCAGACGCTCTTCAAGACGAAACCTTTATCTCCATCCTGCCTTTCACTTCGGAGATATGTGTGTGAGTGTGTGTGTGTGAATGCATGTGTGTGAGACTGTAAGTGTGTATATATGGGAGTATGTGTGTGTCTGTGAGTGTGTGTGTTTGTGTGTGTGTGTGTGTGTGTATGGGATTAAGTGTGTATATAGGAGTGTGGATCTGTGAGTGAGTCCGTATGTATGTATGTGTGTGTGTATATGAGTGCATGTTTGTGTGTGTGTGTGTGTGTGTGTGTGTGTGTGGGTGTGTGTGTGAATGCATGTGTGTGAGACTGTGTATATATGAGAGTTTGTGAGTGTGTGTGTATATGAGAGTAAGTGTGTGTATAAGATTGTGGTTCTGTGTGTATATATGTATGTATGTGAGTGAGTGTATGTGTGTGTATATAGAGTATGTGTGTGTGTCTGAGTGTGTGTAGATATGAGAGTACGTGTATGTAAGAGCGTGGGTCTGTGTGAGTGAGTCTGTGTATGTGGGTGTCTGTGAATGCATGTTTGTGTATATAAGTGTGTTGTGTCTGTGAGTGTAAATGTGTGTCTGTGAGTGTTTGTGAGAGCATGTTTGTGTATATTTGTGAGTGTGTGTGTGAGAGAGCATGTTTGTGTATATATCTGAGTGTGTGTGAGAGCGTTTGTTTATATATGTCAGTGTGTGTGTGAGCATGTTTGTTTATATTTGTGAGTGTGTGTGTGAGAGAGCATGTTTGTGTATACTGTATATCTGAGTGTGTGTGAGAGCGTTTGTGTATATATGTCAGTGTGTGTGAGAGCATGTTTGTGTATATACAGTATGTGAGTGTGTGAATGCATGTGTGTGAGACTGTGTGTGTGTGTGTGTATGTATATTAGAGTATGTGTGTGTGCATGCATGTTTGTGTATATAAGTGTGTTGTGTCTGTGAGAGTTAATGTGTGTCTGTGAGTGTTTGTGAGAGCATGTTTGTGTATATTTGTGAGTGTGTGTGTGAGAGAGCATGTTTGTGTATATATCTGAGTGTGTGTGAGAGCGTTTGTTTATATATGTCAGTGTGTGTGTGAGCATGTTTGTTTATATTTGTGAGTGTGTGTGTGAGAGAGCATGTTTGTGTATACTGTATATCTGAGTGTGTGTGAGAGCGTTTGTGTATATATGTCAGTGTGTGTGAGAGCATGTTTGTGTATATACAGTATGTGAGTGTGTGAATGCATGTGTGTGAGACTGTGTGTGTGTGTGTGTATGTATATTAGAGTATGTGTGTGTGCATGCATGTTTGTGTATATAAGTGTGTTGTGTCTGTGAGTGTAAATGTGTGTCTGTGAGTGTTTGTGAGAGCATGTTTGTGTATATTTGTGAGTGTGTGTGTGAGAGAGCATGTTTGTGTATATATCTGAGTGTGTGTGAGAGCGTTTGTTTATATATGTCAGTGTGTGTGTGAGCATGTTTGTTTATATTTGTGAGTGTGTGTGTGAGAGAGCATGTTTGTGTATACTGTATATCTGAGTGTGTGTGAGAGCGTTTGTGTATATATGTCAGTGTGTGTGAGAGCATGTTTGTGTATATACAGTATGTGAGTGTGTGAATGCATGTGTGTGAGACTGTGTGTGTGTGTGTGTGTATGTATATTAGAGTATGTGTGTGTGCATGCAAGTTTGTGTATATAAGTGTGTTGTGTCTGTGAGTGTAAATGTGTGTCTGTGAGTGTTTGTGAGAGCATGTTTGTGTATATTTGTGAGTGTGTGTGTGAGAGAGCATGTTTGTGTATATATCTGAGTGTGTGTGAGAGCGTTTGTTTATATATGTCAGTGTGTGTGTGTGAGCATGTTTGTTTATATTTGTGAGTGTGTGTGTGAGAGAGCATGTTTGTGTATATATCTGAGTGTGTGTGAGAGCGTTTGTTTATATATGTCAGTGTGTGTGAGAGCATGTTTGTGTATATACAGTATGTGAGTGTGTGAATGCATGTGTGTGAGACTGTGTGTGTGTGTGTGTATATTAGAGTATGTGTGTGTGCATGCATATTTGTGTATATAAGTGTGTGTGTGAGTGAGACTGAGTGTATATATGGGAAGTGTGTATATGGGAGTGTGGGTCTGTGTGAGTGAGTCTGTTTGTGTGTCTGTGTAAGTGTGTGTGTTTGTGTATAAAGTTAGTGTTTGAGTGTGTATATGTATGTGTGAGCGTGTATGTGAGTGAGTGAGTGTGTGTATATATCTGTGTGAGTCTGTGCATTAGAGTGTGTCTATTTATGTGTGTGCACGTGTGTATAAAAGAGTGAGTGTGTGTGCATGTGGGTGTGTGTATATATGAGAGTGAGATTGTGTGTGTCTATATGAGTATGTATATATATATATATATATATATATATATATATGTATATATATATATATATATATATATATATATATATATACAGTGTGTGTGTATAATTTAGTTTATAAAAGTGTGTGTGCATGAGTATGTGTGTGTGTATGAGTGTATATTTGTGTGATTGGATGTGGTTGTGTGTATATATATATGAGAGTAAGATTGTGTGTGTGTTGGTGTGAGTGTGCATGTTTTCATGAAAACAATATATATGTTTGTGTGTGTGTGTGTTTATATTTGAGTGTGTGCGTGTGTGTGTGTGTATATGAGAGTGATTGTGTGTGTATATCTGCATGTGTCCGTGTGAGTGTGTTTGCATGAGTGTGTATCTGTGTGCATATGTGTGTGCGTGTGTACAAGAGTGAGTGTCTCTCTCTCTCTTTCTGTGTGTGTGTATGTGTTCAGTGCAGCTCTCTGATTTCCCTAGAGACTTGGATGAGTCAGAGAGCGAAGCGCAGACCTGCCGGAGCGGCTCGTCTTCACACACTCATTCATGAGCACATCAGCCTCACCTGCGCCCTTATCTCATCTTGGCTTTAAAAAGAGCACATTTACAAACGCATGGCTTTCTGCTCCACTGCAGCAGAACACAGTGTCCAGCGAACAGCGTAACACACACACACTCACTGTCTCTCTGGGGTCTCTTCTCTCTCACACGCAGCTCCTTCGGCAAACGCCTCCAGTCTGAAAACACACACATTAAAACACACGTGGAGGATCATACAAGCATGCTGTGGGGTCAATTTAGATCACAAAATTAAAAACATTAAAAAGGTGCTGTATGTAAGTTTTTTGACTCTTGTAAAGCATAAATATACTAGAATATGTTTGCAGATATTTAATAAACATGCCAAGTGAACATTCTTGTTTATCTGAAAAGCAATGCTGAAGTCAGATATTCTGCTTTGAAAAGGTGCGTTTCATTCCGGAACACACATCATGATACCAGCCATACATGTAAAGCACAAATAATGTCCTTCGATTGGGTCCAGGGTGAACCAATCTCAATCTGTTTGTTCCAGAACTCTGCTTGTTAGATGTTTCCCGCTTTCTTTTGCAGTCTGAAGCTCGTCAAAATCAAGCGGCAACCTCCCGCTCTCCCTCATGAAGCCAATACTGAAGTAGCTGAAACTGCAATTCATAGAAATTCCTCCTCTTCTGGCTCCATAAAGAGCAAAGTTCTATTAAGCCCACTGTTAAAATGGCCAACTTTACAGCAGAAAAAGGGTGTTTACAGCTTGGTACAAACAAAGATTTTGGTTCATATAGCTAATATTACCCTTCATGACAACTGTAAAGGGGGTGAATTTTTTTTATTACTCATCCGTTTCCTTTATATTAGATTATATTAAGTTTGCATAATTAAGAGTGTGGCCACTTGAGTGACAGCTAGGTCTCGCTGGTCGCTGTCGCTTCACCTCAGCTGATTCCGGCTGATTAGCCGCTGATTTTCTTTAGAATTTGAATGCACTCCAGAATCTGACAGATTGATTAGCTGTAGGCTCTAAAACAGTCATCTGAAACGTTGTCATACAGTGTTATGCCTGGATTTCATCAATAGTCCTGCATTTTTACTAACCCAAACTGTATTTGAAGTATTTGGAAGTAAGAACAATGTTTAGTGGCTCAATGTATTACAACTGTGTTTTTAAAAGTCTAAACACTTAATTGATAGTGTACAACCAGGCACATGTGGTCAGAAAGCAAATGAGTTGCAGGTAATGAAGTATTAAGCATTTGTCCCAAAGAAAAACCCATCTAAGCAAAATGCTAGCAGGCGTCTGAAGCTCTATTAAAGCTGGATTTGTTATTTCGCCTGCGTGTGCACCTCACGAAACGGACAAGGCTTGTATACTTGCCACATTTGCTGTAGTGATATTCTTTAAAACGGCAGGGGGCGGTCAAAAGAAACTGACCGTAAAGTCAGAAGGATAAACAGAGAATTAGGACATTTCCAGACTACGTGATATCATTAATATTGTTCAAGATTTTTAAACTAATTATTTTTATAAATTATTTAAATAATTTAAAGATTTTTATGACCATTCAAGATTTGTTTTAAATCAAACTTTGAAGAATCGCTTTTGTTCATATCTCGCAGTTTTTCACAGAACATGAGTTGCAAGTATATATTACAAGTATATATCTACAAGTATATATTTTTTTATTATAGCAAAAATAAGAAAACAAATTGGTACACATACTAAAAAATACAGATTTTTTTTTTTGATTTAGCCCACTCCACAATTCACACCTTACTGTCTGGTTAGTTTCTGTCCTCTTATGCTAAAAAGGCAATAATGGTCCAACATTCCTGACCATTATCAACAATAAAACCTAGAAAAACATACCATCAGTATATTGTAAACAATAGGTTCAAATATTCCTTTCCAGTTATCAAAGAAATAATGTGTTCCTTAATTATACTTTTAAATTCAAAATTGTAATATATACATCAGTGTGAAATCTATAAATGGTGGAAAAACATATTCAGTAAGTGTGTACACTGGGTCTCCACTTTTGCCATGGCCTTTTTTGGTTTTAACAAATTTATCCCTCAGGTTTTTCCAAACTTTTTAACAAAAACTTTCCTCCTTTCCCACGGCTGTTGCAATTTCTGGCCAGGAATTATCGATCATGTTTTTATCTCTATGATCAAGGATCCTAAAGATGTCTGTACAGGTGTACCTGTTTCAGACAAAATCTTGTGTTTCATATTAATCTCAAATCAAGATGATGCACAAACAAAATGGTGGCGATTGGCCACGCCTATTAGTAGCTTCGTCATGGATACTATGTTTGTATCTTTTACAGTCTATGGACAAAACGCAGAAAAGGCCCAACTCGCTCCACAGGATCTCATCTGTGATTTAACTTCACATGTAAATCCAACCCAAGCTCATTCTGGAAACTTAGCCCCGCGGACGTTTCTGGAGACCGCGATTTACATGGCCGGAGGTACGTAAAGGCTGCGTTTGGTTTTTTTCGAGCGAACACTGCGGGACGGTGTGGCGCCGCTCCGCCCCTCCTCTTCGCGCTTGCCGGCCGACGGCTCGCCTCCGAGTGGAGGACTTTCCCGATGCAATCAGTTTGTCCGCTTAGCTCACAGCGTTGCGTCGGCGGAGCAGAGGCCCGGAGGAGGAGCCGGAGCCGGCCGCGCTGGACAACGACCGGGATCGAGTCCGGGGAACAGCAGGTTCCGGAAATCAGGTAAGACGAAAAACGGAATCCGAAAAATAAGGGCGAGAACGCGTCGGGATCCGAAAACGCGGTCGAAATCGAAGACGAGGGCTTTTGCTTTTTTTTTTTTTTCCCGATCTGGCGGCTTTTCGCGCAAGAACGGCGCGGGCGCGAACGCCGCGCGCTCCCAAGAGGCGCCTGAGACGCAAAAAAGCGTGCACAGCAGCCTCTCGCGGATCCCCGAAAACAAAAAACCGCTCGAATACGTATCTCTCGGGACGTAAATCGAGGTCTGCAGAAACGTCCGCGGGGCTATGTTTCCACAATGAGCCCGGGTTGTGTAAATCACTCGCGCTTCATCCGCGTCTGCATACTGCAGTCTGAAAACTCCCCATCGCCCCTGCCCCCCTTTCCATGTATTATAATGATTATGAGGGCGCAGGTGAGACGTCGTTTTCGAGAGACACTCAAATACATCACATGCGCTCCGTATGCAACGTCTACAAGTCATGTAAAACAATTAATTGCTAACTGAAATAAATATATTTTGATCATATGGTTTGGAATTTGATGTTTTATGAGATTATTTATGTTTTTTGCGTTTATTTTGCGCTTGATTAATTTAAGAAATTCTGAGGAACAAGCTCATTGGCTGATGAGGCAACAGCAATCAATCATCTGACCCCTGTAGATTAAAGCAGATTGAATAGGATTTATCATTCAAATATCATGACAGAGCTTTGCATTTATTAATATTGATTGTTTATTCATTCATTTTACTTCAGCTTAGTCACTTATTTACCAGGAGTCACCACAGCGAAATGAACCACCAACTATTCCGGCATATGTTTTACATAGCCCTTCTGGGCGCAATGCAATACTAGGAAACACCCATACACTCTCACATTCTCACACACACACACACACACACACACACACACACACACACACACACACACACACACACTCTACAGCCAATTTAGTTCATCCAATTCACCTACATGCATGTTTTTGGACTGTGGGGGAAACCGGAGCACCCAGAGGAAACCCATACGAACACGTAAAGAACATGCAAACTTCACACAGAAATGACAACTAACCCAGTCGAGACTCAAACCAGTGACCTTCTTGCTTTGAGGCGACAGTGCTAACCACTGAACAGATAGCCAGATGCAACTTCAATTTCACTAATATGCTAATGTTAAACTTACCATGAAGTAAGATACCATGGTAAAATAGCACTAAGATGAACCACTCATGTATATGACTCACCTGGCTTCCACTCCAAACTATTGTCAAAGCTTTCGTTTTTTTGGTATTTGTCAGAATAACGCTCCACATCTGTCAAAAAATAAAATAACAATAAATCGCAGATTAAGCATGGATAATAAGGGAAATGTTGCACATACGTCTTTGCCATGAATTTTGTCAGGAAAACCACAGAATTAAATAAAAAGATAAATGTTGGTGATCTGTGATTAATGATCACAGAGGCTCCTCTGCTGTCTGGTGAGTGAATGCTGGACTTTCCATGTAAACAACAAATCAGACAATTAAAGAGACATTTATCATTTATGTGGGTTCTTGATGCATACAGTGCGTCCTGAAAGTATCGATAGTGCTTAATTTTTTTCACATTTTTTATGTTACAGTCTTATTCCAAAATGGATTTAATTCATTTATCTCCTCAAAATTCTGCACACAATACCCCTTAATGACAGTGTGAGAAAATATTTTTTCAAACTGTTGCAAATTTATTAAAAATAAAAAACCTGAAAATCACATAAAATTCATTTTTAACACTGAATAAACTACATGAGGTGATCATTGTCAGGTTTTCCTGTTGTTCGCCTGTGTGAAATAAAAGCCGTTTCTAACATATCAATTCGAGGTGTTGGTTAGGACAAAAACTCCTTTTAATATGGAAAATATTTGTTCTATCACGTGCCGTTGCTTTTATACTGAACACGGTTTACATTAGGCTTGAGACTCGCTCCTCTTGGTCATCTGGCAACCTGCACTTGCATATGTTTTGATTCTGGAATGTAATTCCTAGTTCAACCACTGGGTGTCAAATTACATACCTTTAAACATTTGCACCTTTAAATGTTATTTACAATAATTGCATTAAGACTCAGGATTAGAAAAAAAGGATTGCATATGTGCCAAAGTGTAGAAATCGCATGTTATGTAATTTCGAAAAAAAAATGACATGATACAATGAGCATAATATAAGCCCTTTAAAGATGTCAGTAAAGAGCTAGTCCTGGGCTCTGAACTGACCTTTCTTGGGAGCCGCTGGACGGATGTAAAACGGGAGCGTCTTCATGGCTCCCCTAAACTCCTGTTTGAGGGCCAGCATGTACTCGGCCTCCTCACCTGCCTGCAGGGGCACTGGCTTCTGATCCAGAGGCTGAACACATCAAACAGCACATTCACATCTGTCTGCTGCTCACACAAACACCTGCTGTCACTCATTTACACATGCCAAGACAGAAATCAGCTTTTAATAGGGCATACAGCTAAAGTCAGAATGATTTTTTTCTTTTTTAAAATATTTCCTAAATAATGTTCAACAGAGCAAGAAAATTTTCACAGTATGTCTGATAACATTTTTTCTTCCGGAGAAAGTCGTATTTGTTTTATTTCGGCTAGAATAAAATCCATTTAAAGGTCAATATTATTAGCCCCATTAAGAAAATTTTTCTTCTTCGATTGGCTACAGAAAAAAAACATTGTTATACAATGATTTGTCTAATAAACCCCAATCAACCTACTGTAGTTAAGCCTTTAAATGTCACTTTAAGCTGAATACTAGTATTTTGAAAAATATCTAGTCAAATATTATGTACTGTCTTTATGGCAGAGACATCTACAGACACTTAAAATGGCAATAAAATTATTTTCTTTACTGTAATAAAAATGTTAATTGAAATAAAAAAAACATACAGTTGAAGTCAGAATTATTAGCCCCTTTTTTATTTTTTTCCCCAATTTCTGTTTAACAGAAAGATATTTTTTTCAGCACATTTCTAAACATAATAGTTTTAATACCTCATCTCTAATAACTGATTTATTTTATCTTTGCCATGATGCACATAATATTTGACTAGATATTTTTCAAGACACTTCTATACAGCTTAAAGTGACAGTTAACGGCTTAACTAGGTAAATTAGGTTAACTAGGCAGGTTAGGGTAATTAGGCAAGTTATTGTATAATGATGGCTTGTAGACTATCGGAAAAAAAATTGCTTAAAGGGGCTAATAATTTTGACCTTAAAATGGTATTTAACAATTAATAACTGCTTTAATTTTCCAGAAGAAACAATATTATCAGACATACTGTGAACATGTCCTTGCCCTGTTAAACATCATTTAAAAAATATAAAAAAGAACAAAAAAATTCAAAGGGGGGCTGATAATTCTGATTTCTACTCTTACTTCCAGCAGGATAACGCGCCATGTCAGAAAGCACAAATCATCTCAGACTTTTTTTTTTAACATCACAATGAGTTCACTGTACTCAAATGGCCACAATATTCACCAGATCACAATCCAATAGAGCATCTTTGGGATGTGGTGGAAAAGGAGATTCACATCATGGATGTTTAGCGGGCAAACTGCTTGATGATATCATGTCAATATGGACCAAAATCTCTGAGGAATATTTCCAGTATCTTTTTGAATCTATGCCACGAATGATTAAGGCAGTTCTGAAGACAAAAGTGGTCCAACCCAAAACTAGTAAGGTGTACCTAATAAAGTGGCCGGTGAGTGTAAGTGGCTTATTATGTAACTGTTAAGGTAAATAAGGTGGAATACTGTGATGATGTGTTCAACAATAAAACAATTTGAATTCTAAAACAAATATTTAAACAAATATGTTGTTGTGATATTAGACACTTTTAAAATGTAATGTTTGCTGAATGTTGAACAGGACCGTTTTTTCAATGCAATTTCTGTGTAGCTCGTGACGCCATCCACATTAAACTATTAAAGCACTGCGTTTATGCTCATGAAATGCAGAATCTGACTCATATCTTGATAATAGCAGTGTATAACAAGCGTATAACAGTTTATAAACGAGGCTTTATTGTTGTGTCTTGAAGACTCACGGGGAACAGAGGTGTCGGCTGGATGCAGGACGGAGGGAGATTTTCACCTTTACCGATCCCAACTATCTCCACAGAGAAAGTGAGCTGCCCTCTGCCCCTTCCTGCCATCATCTGAGACAAAATATTTCACATTTATTAATCATACATCCTCTTTATTTAACTCGTTTATCCGTTATTCACAGTATAAGTTTACTCATTATCAAACAACTAAATTCGGCTAGAAAAGACACATTTAGGCCAAACATGTTAAAATATTTATTTTTACATAAATGTACTTTTGGTAAATGTTTTATTTTCAATGTAACGTTTTATTTGTTTTGACCGAACTGTAGCATATAAACACACCTCTTTCACTCAATGCGGCGAAATCCCTCTTTATTTTCAACTTCGTTTCATTGTGCAAAGGTTTTATTGGTTAATCCGTCAGTAAACGTGGTTGTTTTTAATGTAATTTCAGGTTTTATTGATGTAAAATTGAGCAATAAAATCACCCGCCAAACATCTGCCCGTTTGTTTTTGCCCGCTTCTGAAAACACTCCTGCCAGAAACATGAGCGCGGTCTTTTATGGTTCCGCGTTTCGCGTCAGTTAACGTTAACCAGTGCTACTCAAAGTGAATCATGCTAAACAAACAAATCATTACAAAATATGTAAGGATTCATTACATGTTTTGCATATTGCTCACAGAGATGCTGATGCACATGCTAAAGATTATTATACTGTAGTCAACATTTGAAGTGGATCAAAACCTTTATCAAAGTTGTTCCAAAACTATTCAACAACACACATTTTTAACTTAGGACAAATTTTGATAAACATTTTTGATCTGTTTTAAATGTTGGCTATTATTTATTAAAACTACTGTTTATGTAGCCTATAACTAAGTTACAACACTTTATTACATATGTGAAACATATTTGTCCGTGTACATACAGTATAGATATTTCTGTAATTCATGGCTTTATTGTATAATACTCACAGACACAGTGCGTGTGTGTGCGCGTGCATGCGTGTGTGTGTGTGTGTGTGTGTGTTTACAGTTGAGGTATTGTTATTAGCCCCCCTTAGAATTCTTTTTTCTTTTTAAAATATTTCCCAAATGATGTTTAACAGGGCAAGGAAATTTTCACAGTATGTCTGATAATATTTTTTCTTCTGGAGAAAGACTTAATTGTTTTATTTTGGCTAAAATAAAAGCAGTTTTGAATTTTTCAATGAAAATTTTTAGGGTCAAAATTATTAGCCCTTTTAAGCTTTTTTTTTTTTTTTTTTTTTGATAGTCTACAGGGGTTCTCAAAGTGGGGGACGCGCGACAATGAAGGGGGGGGGGGTCGCCTAGTTATTTCCAAAAATCGAGTTATTTTTATTAAACCATAAGAATTACCATATTTTATCCATAACCTACTGAAGAGAAAAATCTAAATCATCTTTATAGTGATTTAACATTTTAACATCTTTATACACTATATACTGCTGTATTGAGTTACTATAGTAGCTTCTAGTTACTAGTTCTATTGGATTGCGACCCCTGGGGTAATTACATTATGTTAAAGACAGCAATAGCGTCAGATGTAACAGACTGATTTTATAACACCAGGTTAAACTTTCTGGCACATTAACAGCACTGACATACATTAATTCCACAAAGAATAGACATGGGTTTCTGTACTTATAACCACCTCAGAGGATGTTGGGAGTCGCGAGTCACTGGCATTGTCGTTTTGGGTGTCATGGGCTGAAAAGTTTGGGAACCCTTGGATTACAGAACAAACCACTGTTATACAATAACTTGCCTTATTACCCTAACCTGCCTAGTTAAACTAATTAACCTAGTTATGCCTTTAAATGTCACTTTAAGCTGTATAGAAGTGTCTTGAAAAATATCTAGTCAAATATTATATACTGTCATCATGGCAAAGATAAAATAAATCACTTATTAGAAATGAGTTAATGTTTATTAAAAAACTATTATGCTTAGAAATGTGTTGAACAAATCTTCTTTTCGTTAAACAGAAATTAGGGGGAACAATAAACGGGGCTAATAATTCAGGCGGCTGATAATTCTGACTTCAACTATATATTTCTATATAATTATTATTATTATCATTTTTTGCTCCTGGCAAATTCAGACTTAAAGTTACTTAAATATTCTTTTTCCACAATGATGCCTTATAAACATTGTCTTATCATCTTTTGCAATAAAAGTTGAATAAAAGACTTAAAAACAAAACTTTAAATCAGAATTTGCCTGGGTATGAATAATTACCGGCTCTACTGTATTTATACACTACCGGTCAAAAACCGGTCAGTAGGATTTTTAAATGTTTTAAAATAAGCTTCTCCTGTTCATCAAGGTTGCTTTGATTTCATCAAAAATACAGTACAAATAGTAAAATGTTATTGCACTATAAAATAACTTTTCAAGCGTAGCTTATAATTTAATGTAACAATTTTGTCCAGTGATATTAAAGATTAATTTTCAGCTTTATTACTCCAGTCTTCAGTCACATGACTCTTCAGAAATCACTCTAATAATAATAATAATAATTATTATTATTATTATTATTATTAATGTAACACTAATAAAAGCAATAATGACTGGAATAATAGTTTCATTTGAAACTACATACAATACGAAAGCAGTTATTTAACATTTTTATAAATATTTAACAATTTAACATTTTTTTTACATGTATGTATATATATATATATATATATATATATATATATATATATATATATATATATATATATATATATATATATATATATATGTGTATATACCCCCATCATATATATATATATATATATGTGTGTGTGTGTGTGTGTGTGTGTGTGTATATGTATCATTTTTTTATTTTATTTTTTTTCTTGCCAAATTCTTACTTAAAGTAACACAAATAAATATTGTTTTTTCCACAATGATACCTCATGAACATTGTCCTGTTATCTTTTGCTTTTATTTTTCTGGTAAGAAAGAAAAAAACTTGCTGGTTGAATAAGAATTTGCTTCGTTTGACTACGTGTATATACAGTTGAAGTCAGAATTATTAGGCCCCATGTTTATTTTTTTCTTCAATTTCTGTTTAACAGAGTGAAGTTTTTTCAACACATTTCTAAACATAATAGTTTTGATTACTTTTTTCTAATAACTTATTTTCTGTTATCTTTGCCATGATGGCAGTACATAATATTTTACTAGATATTTTTCAAGACACTTCCATACAGCTTAAAGTGACATTTAAAAGCTTAACTAGGTTAATTTGGCTAACTAGGCAGGTTAGGGTAATGAGGCAATTTATTGTATAACGATGGCTTGTTCTGTAGACTAAAGAAAAAAATATAGGCTAAAGGGGATAATAATTTTTACCTTAAAATGGTGTTTAAAAATTAAAAACAGCTTTTATTCTGGCCGAAATAAAACAAGACTTTCTCCAGAAGAAAAAAAAATATTATCAGAGGTACTGTGAAAATGTCCTTACTCTGCTAAACATCAATTGGTGAATATTTAAAAAAAAAAAAAAAAGAAAGAAATTTTTTTTTAAAAATCAAAGATCAAAGGGGGCTAATAATTCTGACTTCAACTGTGTGTGTGTGTGTGTGTGTGTCACTCAGCTGGGGCTCAAACCAGTGACCTTCTTGAATATATTCAAACAAAGTAAATCATGACTGAAGTGGTAATGATATACAGTAAACAAAGAAAGACTCTGGGAATTATCACTTCTAAGCAATATTTTTTGTGTACCTTTCCCAGTCAAATTATAATTTTAGCTTAGCAAAATGTGTAAAATATTATTTAAATGATGCCCAAATGATTGCATAAAAACTTTATCCCAAAAATAATTCAATTCATCTTTTTTATATAGCGCTTTTACAAAGTAGATTGTATCAAAGCAGCTTAACATAGAAGTTGTAGTCAATTTTCAACAGTGTAAGTCCAGTTTTAAGAGTTGAAGTTCAGTTTAGTTGAGTTCAGATCAGTGTGCTTTCATATTTGCTGCTGGAAGTGCTAATCACTGAAGAGAAAATCCATCAATGCGCAGCTCCACAAGTCCCAAACAAAGGAGAGGGGTCTGGATGCAGACCTGGTGCAGTGCAATCTGCGCTTTATCCAATGCTTTTTAATCGGCTCACCTTACCCCACCTCTTACCCTACCTCTCACAGTGACGTCACTCATTCCATTGAGTGCATTGTGCCTGCACTGCATCGCTGAGAGATGCAATTTCAGCTTGCATCATAAAGGCTGCATCCAGATACTATTTACTAAAAGCAACCAAGACAAAACTTCACCAATCGACGAAATTGGTAAAAAAAAAAAACCTTGAGAGAAACCAGGCTCAGTTGGGCACGACCATTTTTCCTCCGGCCAAACTTCCTGTGCAGAGCTGGAGAATACAGAACGTCCAACGCGGAGAAGCTGCAGGTCTGAGTAGTCACCAGCAGGTGTTCATGCTGGCCCAAAGGATCAATGCGGAGACTCCTCTGTCACTGATGTCTTTCAGGAATCAGTCTCATGCTCTCCACTCCTCCATGGCGGCCGCAGTATCTGCTAAGGATACGGCCTGGTCCAGGATTATGTATACCATAGCATAATTTCTTGTCTTGAATCGCATCTATAGCGGCGCACAATCTCTAGCGGCCTCGGAATGAATATTCCCAGATGGAAATAGAGAATAAAGAAAATAATTAGCAGTGCTGCTGTTCATAGTGTTTTTATGAGATGGAAAATGAAGTGCCATAAATGAACCTAGTAGTTATATAAACAGACATAGAAACAAACATGTAAAGCATATGAGTAAAACACTAATAATTCTAATAATCATTCCTAAATAATGCTAAAGTGTTTGAAATGCCGTGAAAATAATTAATGTAACTGAAATAAAATTACAGACATAAACTAGTTTGTACAATATCAATAAAAGAGATTTAAAAAGAACCAGCTGGTATAAGATTAGCGCAGCTTCATTTCCCTTCCACGCTATGATGAAGCTGCTCGCATCAACACTTTTCTAGAAAACAGCTGAATTTCAGCCAAATCTGCATCTGTTAAAAAAATAATGATGAAAGGAAAAACTAACCCTGATATTGCTGACTCACACCCTCCCCCGTCAAAGTCAGAAAAAAAAATGTGTGAGCATTAGAAAACAGGCTAATTTCTGTAAGCTGATGTGATTTTAGCAAAACATCAAGACTAACTTTAGACACTGATTGAAATCTGGTGATATAATATTTAAGCTGTAATTTAGATGCAAACATGGAGAGCGAGAGCACACTGACTTGTGTAACCTGCTTCTCTCTCTCTCTCCCCTGCAGCATGTGCATGTCACTGTGCAACGCTTCTGTCGGAATCCACTGAATCAGTTGCCATAGAAACTGTGTTCAATAATAGCTATAGTCACTGAATTAGTATTTATGCAGTCTGAGAATTGTTTCACACCCCCTGCTTTCTTGCAGAGAGGCCCTTGATATATATTTAGCCCCAAAACTGAAATAAAAAGGTGTAAAGGCAGGCAAAATTTCAGGAG